TCAGTTAAGGTTACTTCAAGATTTTTGTACGCGCTGTATAAGGCATACTGGAATGGTGCCGAACAGTCATGTCGCTGTCTATGATGACGTTTATAAAGATGATGCTTTGAAAAGAATATAATTCTCTAGAAGGGACCTTACGTTTGCCATTTCGTGTTGTCTTCCAATTGGGATGGCAACCGAAATCTTACATTGAATCCTTCACTTAGTGTTCCTCAAGCAGTTAGAGAAAATGAAAATAGACGGTAGAAAATAAGTGGAAAATTCGAAAATCAAGTTCGACTTCTTGAAAGATTTTGTTATTTTTTTTGTGGAACAAATCTGATGGCTCGTTTTTTGAAGAAGTTAGTGGAAGAGCAATGTCACTTGATAGAATTCAGACTGAAGGCACATAAATGAACACTAGAATGTAAATTGACATGTAAGACAATTCTATGTGCCACAAGACAAGATTTCTAGAGACTTTTGACTTTTTGCGCTTCCTGCTGTGCATAAAAAATAATCTATACCTGTCAGCAGGGATGTCTGTAAGGGGTGTGGAGAGCAGAAAATATTCGGATATAAACTTTCATTCACTATTTTCATCTCGAATTTCACAAAAAAGAAAACTTACAAAGATCGATTTTGTGCATACTTCTTAGCTGTACAGATCAAAATGTGTTCTTTCTGGTGAGCTACTGTTTTTTTCTTAAAACTTCAAGCTTTATTGGTAATCTGTCGAATCTTCCGTAAACTCTGCTGAAAACGTAAGAAACGAAGAAAAAAAAGAAAAATGCATTCTTTCTTCTGTTCTTTTTTATCGTTCAAAGTGTTAGCCCAGCAAATTCTGTCTTAGTCGGGACTGTCGTGAGCGAGAGTAGAGAAATATGGGAGGGTGACTTTCCCATCCGCAATCTTGACAAATGGATCATTGTTCACTAGCGAAGCCAACCATTTTTTCTGGGATTCTGTGTTACAGCCCAGCGTGACCACAGGGTTTTGATGACGATGACGCCTGTCTACAATAAGTTCTTTTGTAGAAGAACAACTGATGATTAGAATTCTACGTGAGTATGCTTTCAGAGCCTTTCTATATGTGAAAGGGACTCAGATTTGACAGAAAGTCCAGCAAATTTTGTTTTACAGAAAGTGATTTGAGAAAACGTTTTATTGTTGTTTTTGTCAATTTGCTAGCGAAAAAGAGGGAAAATTTTTGGGAATGAAAGTACCTCTCCTGCTTACCCCCCGGTCAAAAGTCAGATCGTGACTATGTCCGTGACTGTCGCGTGAGACTCTTATCTGAACTAACTTCAGTACATCTTTGATGCAAAGTGCTGGGCTGTAATAACATACGGTGCAAAAATCTTTGGAAAACGTCAGAACATATTTCTCAGCAGTGAGACGTCAAATTGGTCTGATTTATTTTTTGTTTGAAAGTAAAGTCTGGGGAATTAAACACAGCAAAATGGAGAAAAATTTTACTTTCGGCTTATTACAATAAATATCAGACACGGGACAGTCGTCAAAATGTGGTTAGAACCTGATTTTTCGCTATTTGTGGCCGTTCAGTTTGCAGCGTCGTCTGCATCAGAGTTAAACGAAACATGACCAAAAATAGAGTTTTGTGAGCCCTATCAAATCCTCTATTTGGAGTTAAGTTTTGGTTATACCATTGATTCGAAAATTCTTTTCTTGTAATACTTCTTATGTTAGAATATCAATTTAATAAAAATTCTAACATCAAAAAAAATAGTGAGTCTGAAAAAGCATTAAAAAGTGAACGAAAAAAATTCGAAATATGGTCCATCCAACAGTATACTTTGATTGCGGCTTGTAACTTTATGCGTGCTATTATTTTTCAATATAAATGTTGCCGGATGTTGTAAGGCTTTTTGAGATCAATTGAAAGTACGTCGCAGCACAGCGCAAATTAATTACATTAGCAATGCTTTGCTAGACTTATTTTTTATTCCAGACTTTGCTCGTTCATACAAAAACAGGTTGAGATCGATTCGATGTTTTGCTGCTGAGAAATATGTTCTGACATTTTTCAAAGACTTTGGTACCATATTTTAGTTGGTTTGTCGAAACGAAAAATTGATGAAAATGATGATGAACATGCAAATTCCGAAACAATTTAAAGACATTGTTCGGAATAAATCTTAAGACTTTTATATCTTTTTCCATGGTCACAAGGAAAGTGAGTAAGAAACGAATGAAATTCCTATTTACAAATATTAAGAATGTATATCGCTATTGTTTTATAGTAGTTTTCTGAATAGGTTGAGCATATTTATAGTGAAACAAGTTTCAATTTCTCTCGTGTTGTTCACAATAGACATAATTGACTTCATGAGCATCCGTAATCGTGACAGTCACGCAGAGTTGTAGTTGAAATATCATTGGATGCACTGTGTGAACGCGTACCATATTGAATCCAGAGAACAGAAACAAAATTGAAAGGGTACGGATATGTATGAATTGAAGATTCTTTAGCATGACTATTGCATGAGCTAAAACTCTAGGCTATCGGCATAAAGTCAGCGGTTACGAATCGGATTTGAGCATGTACAGAAGACAATGTACCAGTACTGGTAGTGTACGAGATTGAATTTTTTTATTAGTCGGGTACCAGCACGATAAGTCTCACCCCATGCAGTAACCTAGGGATGAGATGAACCTCAAAGGACACTTTTTTTTACAGATGTAAGCAGCGATTTGCATATGTTTTTGCCTGACTTCTGATTCATAAATATTGTTGTTTTCTTTCTAGGAGTAGATGAATTGAAGTCTGATTGGTTTGAAAATTGTTCATCTAGTCAGATACATCGTTTTCAATGCTCAAAAGATGAACGAACGTGCTTGACAGTCTTGTCGTTTGGAGATACTTACTCTGATTGCATCGAAAACAATCATGATGAATATTCTGAAAAGCACAATGTGCCGCTGGAGAGCATTAAATGTGTGAGTAGAGGTTCTGCTCAGTGTACATTTCTTCGTCAACACATTGCACAATCATTCCAAATAGCAACAACCAATTCATCATCCTCGAACATAACAAGTAGTGCAGATGTGGAAAAAGTAATCAAATTCTGGTCATATTGCAATTCTCGTTGGAATATGAATTATGGGAAAGATGAAATAGACTGTTATGAATGGAAATGTCCTCCGAATGATACTTATTATCAATGTCAAACCGGTCAATGCATTCAAAAAGATTGGTTGTGCAATGGAGCATNAAAACCTGTTTACATACGAAGTAACCAGTTTTAACGAGTTAAATGTTTTGAATCATGGTGCGAATGAGTTATAATGCGTTTTTTTCGAGTTTTTCTATTTAAACGGGTCAAAACACCGTTTTAGCGTTTTCGTGTCTGCATGGGTAAGCAACGAACTCAAATTATACACAAACAAAACATGCCCCAACAGGCTCTTCAGTACTGACTACGCGCTGCGTATCGTAAAGAGCACTAAGCTGAGATCTGCATATAATTATAATTTGAATGTTGTATTACGGTAAAAAATCGTAACGCGTCACCTCTAATACCGGAAAATTAAAAAATATGAGTTGTAATATCAATACTTTCGTCCTATAGGGTCTAGCTCAAAGTGAACAAAGTCTCTTCTTTGGTCTAAGAATAGGTGGTTTTGCTCACATTTGTCAATCATTAACAAAATTTCGATAGCGAAAAAGAGACCGCATTTTACTGATTTTCGTCATCGCGTTACGTTAATTAAACCAAAGTAACGAGCCAATAAATGATCTTTTTGAAGCATTTTATTTTTTCATTGGATACTCCATACTGTCCGCTACAAGTTTTGATGGATCGGTTTTTCAAATGTAGTGGGCATCCAGAGAAAAACAACGAACAGACACGTCACCCTCAACTTTTTGTCCAATTTTCATGATCGCGATTCGCTCAGTATTTTTTGCCAGAATTTTCAAACGACTAAGCCAAACGAACTCGAGTTTTTCAGTAATTGCGACAGGGTAGAGAGACGCATCATTTGATGAAAGAATCAAATTTCTAAGTAGTCTAGTTTCTAAGAAAAATGGAAAAAACTGGACAAAACGTCATCGCGTCACGCTCGTGAAAGCCGATTAACGAAAAATCAGAAGATTGCAATTGAAAGTGGCGTTGTTTTTTTCAACATTATCTGAACAGTAATGTCTAATAGCGAATTGATTTCGCTTCTTATTGATTGAGAAGCTGAAGCATCAACAGATTTTTCAGTCTATTTAGCATGTTCAATCTCTACACAATACGATATTGTCTTTCTTATTGTACAATTTAATACTACATACAGATTTTGATTAGATTTATTTCAAACAAGTAAAGGAAGATTATTTTTATACTTTTGTTTGTTTATTTATTTATATTCCATAAAATATGTCATCTTAAACAACAATTTGCAAGTAAGTCCTAGAAAAATGCTCCAGATCGTTATTTGTATACGTAAAAATACTAAAATCATCATCAAACATGGCATTCTATATGATTGATCACATTCAGCAAATTATGTTTTAGTTATTTTAATCACCACCGTTTAATTTGTTAATTTTCTTAGTTGTTGTTTTATTCTTCGACATGAAATGTATTGCATGACAACAAAGAAAATCATTTCATTTGATGAACTTTTTACATAATAGACGATTATAATAATACAAAAAGCATAAAACTCAGAAAAATCACTAGATAAATTATGTAAGTATTTCATTATGGAAAAACTGATTCTATTTATTTAGATAGTTTTTGTTTATTTTTCTTGATATTCAAATCGATTTCAATGAAAAATGAATATATTCAAAAGAGGAAAACTAAGAATTAAGCATAATAACATTTCTTCACATCCATCAGATAATCAAATTCTGAATCAGGTATTTTATGTAAAGTCCAATCAGTATATTTGATTATATCTGTTGACATCCATTTTCCTGTGTAAAGATCATATAATTTGTTGACAAGTTTAATTGGTGCCAAATCAACTTTTCTGATATATAATCGATTTCTAACAGTATATCATATAGCAGTTGAATTATATTCTAAAGGCCATGCAAGACAATCTCCACCACAATCTTCATCAAATATTGTTTCATTAGATGTTTTATTTTCACCACCATATGATATAACAATACCTGCCCAATAATCCATATAATCATATGGTCCACCTCGATTTGCAATACATCTAGCTGGATAAAGTTTAAGCTCAAATGAATAAGTAAGACCCTCATTACGTAAATATAAATCTTGACTACCAACTACCGATTGATTACCTTCATTCGACAAGCCGACACGAGACATTTTACCCAGTTTTCTATCAATAGCATAATGCTGTCCAAAATAATCATTTCTTGTCACATTGATTCGATAACGACTCGGATTTGGAATTTGAATTGCTGTTACATTGACCAATAATAAACTAAATAATACAAATGTGATTATCACTATAGTTTGTATCCTTTCAATGTAGTTTGCTATTTTCTTTTTTCAATATATATATTCAAGTGAAAAAGTGCTACTATACTATCACCTGCCGGATGTCGGCAAAATAATTCTGTGTGATATCAAATAACCAACAAGGAACAGATGCATCGTCATATTATACAAGATACTTTTATGATATGCAAATAACAATGATTGATGCACTTCTTTTTAATTGAATCGATCGAGAAATGACATATTGTATTTTGAATTGAAAGCATTACAATCAATTATTCTCAATGAAAATATTATTTGAAGACAATTTATTTGAATGATTTATTTATTTAAAAAAAAAAACTATTATTCTATTGTTAATCATTGAAAAAGAAATAATATGAACTCTTATTTTGAAATTTTAGTGTAAAGCTATGCATGATTTTCATTAGCAAAGTCAATTTATGTTGAACTATACCGATGATAATTGATTTACATGATAAAGGTCACAAGAACATTTGACCAATGAAACAAACTTTGAAAAAAAAATGAAAATGGATCGATTTTCTCATTATTGATTATAAATGTGGAAAAATCCTTTGAAACTCAGAAATGGAAAACGTATAGAAATTACTAGAGGTATACTTTACGATCTTGTCATAGACAATGTCTGGAAAAAGTTGAACAATCTATAAATGAATCTTAATCAAGTACACAATGAATCTTAGCACAAATATGTTGCTCAAAATGTTTCCTTTTTTTCGTATGATTTGATTTCAAATTCTTCAGTTTTTTCATTGGTTTTATTTCTTTCATAGTATTCGACTTGGCTCAACCTCAAACAAATGCATTTGACTATTTATTTTAAATAAAAGGAGAAAAAAGCGATCGTATCTGTATGAATATTAAAGAAATTTTTGAATTCCAGAAGCACTTTGAAATCTTTGATTAGTTTGATTGCTGTTTCAAGTCTTTCTTTGCTCCTATTCGATCGATTACAACATGTATGGTGGATGTGGATGTGGGTGTGGGTGTGGGTGAGTGTAGAAGAAATCACACCCACACCCGTCCCACCCACATCCTGAATGTGAAACAATAGTTTTTTGCCTTTTACAGATCACACTTTTTACTTGAAGAAAACCAATTTTATTATATCCATATTTTCAAACACAATAGGTTCTTCGCCATAAAAACTTCTCTTAAAAATAGAACAAAAATTATAGAAAAAATGGATAACAATTAGTTTCAACATAACTATCATTGGAAACGATCACAAAACTCATCTTGTTTTATATAAGTTTGATGCATATTCATAATAACATTTCACAAATTCAAACAAGTGCATTGACTAAACTATGAAAATATAAGACAGCGGAAATAAAGTAACTCGGATAATAACCAGTAATTCCTATCTTGATACGTGCTTTTGAAATTAATTGAAGAACTGACAAAAATTGATTCAGCCTATATTTTGTATTCAAGCAAAACAAATAATGAAACCTTTGAAAAACTGAGTAAAACATACAATTTACACGAATTTGGAAAAACAATGTGATCCATGATATCAACTACCACATATAAAACGAAATCAGAGACAAGGATTTTTGGAATCATGACTTCATTAATAACTCATTGTCACATATATACAATAGTTCTAATTTTGTTATCAGTGATACTATTTAGCCATCGTTATCACCATCGGCCGACACTGCTAAACGACAAAAAATTGAATTCATTCATGTGTAAATTTTTACGAGAGACTCTGATTAACATGAAATCGAAAGGAAAAGCAATCATTGTCTTTCATCATCATAAACTCTTCAATAATCAAGCAGAATTAAACGATGCTGATGACTCTAAAGATTATCATGATGGATATAATAGTATTTTTTTTTGGTGCACACGTCATACATGTATCCATCGTTTATTGACTAAAGCGTGCGGATATTTTCATTTTTATATTGCAACATGTAGCTACATACAATCGCATTCGTTTTCTGAGATTTTCCATGAAATAATAAATGATCGTCTTGCTGTTCTGTGGTCGATGCGAAAATGTCGAACCGATCTGATTGAGAAAAAAAAAGATTTTTGATTTTGATTAGAATGAAACTCTTGAATCATTTGTCTCTTTCATGGTCTCTGTTGATTTTGATGATCATCAAACATTGAAGATCTTTTTTTTTCAAGTTTAATTGTTGACTATTGTTCTTGTGGAAATCTTGTTCAACGAGGAATCATTGATCAATCCAGATAACCGTGTTTAGTACTTCGAGCTGTCTTCAGTAGGTTTTATTCTCAAGAAACCGTGAATGGAAGCTTGTTTTCAGTATTCGAGTTGTACACTCATTACGAATTCTCGATTGTACATCTTATTGATCTAACGCAATCGGCTCCATTCTCAAAATAAATTTTAATACAAAAGTTTACTATTAGAATCAATGGTGTATCTATGTTCAAATATGATCGCATAATGAAGGAGTAATAATAAATGTCTGGCAAAATGAAATCGTATGAGATCATAACATCGCACAAGCATGACAATAAATAAAATGTTTGATTTATTTGTCCTATCAATGAGATATGAAGGAAAATTTATTGTCTATTAACTTGTATTCTTCTTCGAATAGCATAAAATTCGTTTCGAATCAGTCGATAGAGCATTTCTATTAACTCCATGATTGAAAGGAGACTAATGCCAATCCATAGACCAGTTTGACCACCAACATTTGAAAAAACATCAACTATACCCATGCTCGCTGATTGTGTATTATTCTCGACAATACTTGTTTCGCGTATAATGTTGATAGTAAGATAATTTGTACGAATTTCGTCTTGCCATGTACTAGACCAATTGGCTGGTAATGGAATCGTGGAATTTTCAACAAACTTCTTTATGTTTTTCATTTCCCATGCGCCTGGTAATGATAGTGAAGAGGTTTGTGCAATAAAACTTCTTATTTCACATTCTTGTAAACATTCTGAACAATAACTATTCATAAGAGAAGACGACATTAAAAGTTCACCAATAGCTTTCTTATAACACATATTGTCTACTTCGCAAAGAGATGCAAAAACCATTCGCTTGATGCTCGGGATATAGAGTGAGCGACCATTCCATAGATAAGGACTGACACAACCACATTGTTCATACCTAAGATACAATGAAATTCCTTAGATACAATAAGATGAAAATTAAGGCAATGTATCATCAGTTAAAGCATGCTTACGCATAGATTTGCCCACAAAGTTGATAACATAGCGATTCAGAATAACGATAATCAGCATTTTTGTAATACTCAAACATGGCTTGCATAGTAGGAGATGCGTTGTCAGTACATGTTGTATACGGTGAAGATAAAAAGTAAGTTGTCTTCTTTCGATATCCAATTTTGTGCCTTTGTCCTGCCGCTAATTCAATACCAGCTGCTTCAATAAGTGGTAATTGTGTATTATCGTGAACTAAAGCCACGGCACCAAACCCTTAATGGAGAAATCTAATTTATAAAATTTGACGAATAAAATATTGACTTACCCTCCATGAGGAAAGGCACATATTGATGACTATGCATGTAAAGACCTATGGAGAGCTTGCCATCGCCACCATATTCGTTTGCATAAAGTATATTTCGACTGGCATTATTTTTTAATTTTGCATTGAATGTATAACAGGCACCGTAGACGGGTGAAATAAATGAAATGAAATCGTTTATTGAACATGGCATATTATTGAACGTACATTTGTACATCATCGAAGAAAGTGAATAGAAATACATATCTAGTGTTTCGTTTCTATTCAAAGTATTTACGAAAAATCTTGCAAGATCTAGAAACTGAGATGGACCCCATTTTGTATCATTTGTAGTTGTCCAATTGCTCATGATGGAGTAGTTTAGAAAAGGATTCCAAAATAGATCCAGACGAAGTGGTGAGATATTACAAAAGCTAACAGCTGGAAATTCCTGTGGCCATTCACTAATAAAGCTTGCATCCATACTTGTTGGATAACTGAAATAGTTCAAGATCGCTGTGACAACAAAATAGACCATTATACCAGCGAAAATAATGAATGAAAGCGACCAAAAAATACGATTATGTAGACTTTCACTCCGAGCAATACCCGGTAAAGCATGTGTTGATGTATTCAAACTGAATTCACGAATAATTGAAAGGCGATGAGATAACTTGCTTTTCGATTGAACTACTGTAACATCATTGACGACTGAAGGAGCCACATTTTCATTTCTATTCGGCATGAAAAAGCTTTTTGCTGAAAGAAAATCTAAAATTAAACTTTTTCAAGAGCAATGTAGTTCGCTAGAAAGTCATCAGTGACTAGGTACGTTCTATAGAAAAACAGGTGAATAATTCAAAAACTAATAGATATCATATATTGCTCCCTTTTCTTACCATGTACGAATGAAATCAGCCTCGCTATTAGTCACATCTACCTTTGAATCACTACAGAAATTATATGAGATTTCTGTTTCAGTATTATAATACTTTTGTGAAACATGAGTATTAATGAGTGTTGACGTATATCAAGAGAAAATTGATCTTATTTGTCCCGACTTGGTCCAAAAACCGCGAAAAAATTGTGTTGATATTCTTTTAATCTATTGACAGATCTTGACATAGATTTTTATATGTTTATAATGGCTTAGTGATTTTTCCTACATGTTGGTTTATCGTTCTGTCATTGTCTGTCACATCAATGATGAAGTTTCTTCAACGAGAAAGAAAAGCGAGAATTACGTATTTACAGATTCTTCATGTATTTTTCAAAGTTATCTTTTATAACTTCTTAGATATGTCAAGCCTAGTATCCGCATGCATCTCAGCTTATTTTATATCTAAATCTACCTGTGAATCAAGTCACAATACTTCATCGTACTCCACTGATACTCAACTCTTAAAGTACAATAAAGTTTTTCGGCTTTTGTATCAAACATACTTGTGTAAAATAAAGCCAAACTAGCATGCTTGTGACACATTCTGATAATAGATTTGATATTACTAAGAATGTCAGAAGGATGGCTTTGATATACGCGTGGAGTAGGTTGAAGTTCGGGTGAAGTAAGAAGTTTTCATTTTTCTCCCTTACGATCCTTGCAATAATTAAAGTAGCCACATGAATGTTAATATTCTAGCCCAGTAGCGATTACGCTTAAAACTTTTTCTTCAATATCTGTTTCTATAGGTGATATAAATAATACAAAATGAAAATGAATATATATCAAATTACAAAGACGAACAGTGAGGCTATTTTGTTTCAACATCATAAACTGATATCAATGTGATTTGATAAAAACTCATTTAATGGAAATAATCATGGACATGAGCGAAACTAGTTTAACATGCGAAAAAAGAACACATCTATGACAATTTTGTTTTTGAAAAATCCTAGATTGGCCAGTAACAGTCTTCTAGTAGACTAGGCCGGCTATTAATGATTGCAGTTCTGGTGCGTATGAAGGTTAGTCATACGTACACCAATCGACTATTGTGTTTCAAATTGATCTTATCTACTAGAAAGTATTATCGACCATAAACTGATAAAGATAGAGTTCTTGGACTCCCAATGTCAATGACAGTTTATCAGTTGTTGAAAAAGAACATATTGATTTCAACAATGCTCAATTGAAGATCACTCGTTTTTAACCATTTGTAAAGCGTTTCTATTCGTTTTAACCAGTTACAAAACTGTGACAAAGGCTATGACTCTACACCTACCTTACTACCTAACTGAGTGTACGTGCATACATATAAATGTAGGAGTTGCGTATAAATACTTCTTTTCTGATTATTTTTCGTCTGTGTTTGACTATCTGAATTCGTAGGAAAAAACATAAATTTATTCACTTCGAGCCAGTACTGTTAATTCAGCATGCTAATGTTACATACGCTTCTAATATAGCTAGTAAGCTTTTATTGCAAAATTCCCTTAGCTACAATGCAGAACAAGCATAATATTGTCTGCTTCATTTAGTTGTGGACATAAATAAACGATACAGAAACGAAACCTCTTAGTAGTCATGTAAAACAAGCCCTTAGAAAAATATAATAAATGCTTCATTGCTCTTGCTTATTCAAATTTCAATCATCCATAATGGAGTATATTTTGATTAAAAAGCTTGTCAAAGCAAGCCCTTATGAGGTTAAAATATGGAAATCATATGATATTGCCTTCAGAATGGTGTGGGTCTGGATGTGATTGTTGTTTTGATCGACACCAACATCCATCTCATACTCACACACACCAACTAGTCTTTCATTTGCTGTGTCTGAAACTGGATGGATAACGCAATATTTATTTGTTGAGTGGTTTAAATCATTTGTTGAATATACAATAAATATTTCTAAAACATTACTTTTAATTATGGATAATCATGTTTGTCATATCGGTATTGAAGTTGCAAAACAAAATCAAATACTATTGTTGGTTTTACCATTATGTTTTACTCATGCTTTACAACCTATCAACAACGTCACATTCAAGCGTCCTAATATTTTTTTTAATTTTAGTTCTGCAGAACAATCATGAAAACGTATTATAACAAAGTATCTCTTACGAAGTAGTCGTAAAACAATTCGGAAAATTGACTTACATTCTTTATTTAACCAACTTTATTCATCAGCTGTTACACCTAAACAAGTTGTTGCAGCAATTAATCGAAGTAATAAAAGATATTGAAAAGAGAAAAGAATTTCTTGGATTTTTTGTTTTTGTTGTTCATCTATATGAATTGATTTATTAAAACAAATATCAATAAATGAATAAATTAGATTCAATGTTGTTTCACTATCTGAAGTTTCTTGACAATGGACTTTAATGCGTTTTAATAATGTTTCTTTTTTGAATTAGCTTAATAAAGAATTGTTTGATTAATATTTGATGTTGATTTTCAATAATATACTTTGGAATAATTAATAAATTATCAGTAAATGATGATGTTTATTGATCAGTAATCTATGTAAATAAGTACTTTTGATGCTTCTAGAGAAATTATTTCCTTTTAAAATTGTTCATTATCATAAGAAGATAAGTTTTAAAAAAATAATGTAAACTATTTTGTTAATTCTTCGTCAGTTACAAGTATGGTCAAGTCAATGTCATTGTTTAATTGAGATAATTTTTCGTTTGATATAACTTTTCTTAGTTCATTATTTATTGATAATAAGCCTTTGTGCCGATTTGTTTTCATAGGAAATAAAAATTTCAAATGTGTTATAAAGACATTTGCCTGGGAAAAATCAGAATATAATTGATAATAGTATTAGAAATGTCATGTATTTTTCTTGTTGATAATTGTTCAATAAAGCTAAATAATTGTTTGAATGTATTTGAATGAATTTCATGATCGAAATAAATATATGCTAAAATAATAGATGAAATAAATTCTCTAGTAAATTCTTTCTGATATATTTTTATCAATTTTGTATTTGGAAATACTCCAATTGATTTAAAACAATATAATAAAATCTAGAAGATCTCACCTTAAAATAATAGAACAATTTTTTCAAATAAAATAATGATGTTTTTTTTACTGGTGGATTCTCTCAATGTTGTATTTTCGTCTGCTTCGTGATTAAGATTTAAATCAGTATTTATCTGTTGTTTCTGTTGACCAATAGTCTGAATAAATTTCATTCAACATAAATATTATTTTTATCAAATATTAATTTAGATAATAAAGGTAGAATATTTTTAACTGGTGCTGTTGCAAATGAAAGACTCAATAACATCTTTATAGATTTGTTTCGATAGAATTAAATCCGATGATAAAGATAATTTCTTAATGTAATTAATCAATGGTTTGAAAAGTTTAAGTAAAAATCTATGACAATTCGAAGAAGATAAACATTTCATTGGAATGTGTTCATATAATTGAAATGTTAATGAGAAAATTTGATAAATAATAGTTGAATCATTTTTCTCAGCTGATTTGATAAGAATTAGTAAAATTGATATCAACGATTGAATTGTAAAATATGATATTTGTTCAGATTTCAATTGACTTTTGTCTTGATTATCATCAGTCTTGATAGACAAAAGAATTTCATTCGGTACAACAATAGAACTTGTTTTTCAAAGGTTTTTTATTGTTGTTGTTTTTCCAGACTGCCTGTGATTTCTTTTATTGTCTTCTTGATAATATTTATCGATAATTGGAAAAACATTTCGTAGAAGTATTTGATTTATTTTTCAGTATTAATTTGTTCTAGTTCGTTTGAATCGATTAATTGAAAATGATCATTGTTAGTTCTAATAGAACTTTCCATTGTATTATTGGTTTTTATAAGAAGAAAGGAGAGTATGATTGTGCCTAGTAGAAAATATGCACGAGAAAGCCACAATTACTTTTGATTACCGGTGACAAAATCTTAATTTTTGGACAAACCTCGTAGTTTTTTGCAGAAAATCCAATTTAAATTTATTAAAATCAAATGAGAAAATAATCTATTTCACCAATTAGTTTTTATTTTCATCGATAATCGACTTGAATATGTTCAATCGCTTTAAAGCTCAATAGGAAAGAAACCGATTCTATGATTTGCTTTTGATTATTAACGATTATCAGAGTAGTAATTTAATTTTAATCGTTAATCGATTTTCAAGTGTTGGAAAATATCAGTAAGATCTATATAGAACCGAATGATTTAGATTAATAAGAAGCATTTTGGGTAGAATATTAATTTCTACCAAGACTACAGCAAATAAAAATGGTATGAAATTTTCGTCAGCACAGAAGTTCTAGACCAAGTACGATATACATGATCATGAACAATATTAGTGCTTTTTCAAAAACGTAATGTAGATAAAATAATTCGGTTAAAATCGTTTTTTTTTCATCAATAGCGAGTTCATCCAACACATGGACAATGTTTAATCGATTCCAAAAGTAGCAATGAACTGAAATTGATTTTGTTTGAAAGTAGGAAGTACACATGAGATGAGTACAACCTTTGAGAATACGAATTAGAAAAGTATTTTGTATTCAAAGAAGTGGGACATAGAATAAGGTAAAAATATGCACACAATTCATTAAAATCGATTAACATATTTTAATTAATCTAAATTCCTTTTTCAATTTTTAATAGATTTCTGATATAATTACACCATCTCAATCAGCAACAAATGTTGTAGTAGTTGCAAATTTACTTCATTTGCTGAAGTTTAACTGCGTGATAACTTTATGCTTTTTAAATACGAGCAATCCAGAAGAAACGTGAAAAATTAGGGCATTGCGTTTGGATGTCGAGAAAAACTCTCATCTTCGGTATATCTGATTTAAATCGATTAAGAAGTGATAATAGATTAAAATTGATTAACAGGTAATAATAAACTCAAGTAAATTAATAGATAACAATAAATTAAAGCAGATTAAAAGGTAACAACTCAGTGAAAAATTCGAACGACTAAAATTTTAAAACTCTATAGAGATAATCGAAATTGATAATCGGATGTTTGTGTAACAAAATCAAAATTGTAATCGACTTTAATCCGTAAAACGTTTCACTAAATAAGCGTTGGTGCGGATGAGAGGTGAGCATGGATGTGTCTATATAGAAGATCCACACGCAATCACATTCGCCCCCATCTACACCCTCTAGAGAATCCAAACTTCAAAAAAAGATTTGGTTCGCGAAATATTCGTGTTGCATGTTTTGAAGATTGTATGAAAGAAAGTGAGACGTATAGTGAACAATAATAAACGGTTGTTTTCTTGGAATACGACAAATTACTGTAGTTTTCTTTCGTATCAGAACTGTGCAAAAAAAACCTCAATATTTGTTCCGTTCTTTCTTTCGAAAAAAAACACACATTTGTTACAGCCTATGACGCCTTCAAGAACCTAATAAATACATTGCGAAACCCAACAGTTTGTTTATATCGTGTTTTACTATAAATGATGTCAAAATTACTTATATATTATGTTCTTCCTTGGTCAATTGATGGACGTTTCGGTTTAACCATCAATCCACTAAAAGGTCAAGGACGTGTTTCGTATCAGTTTGCAAGAATAATCAGGCATATTACCGGTCGTAATCCGTTGGATTTTAATGGCTATGGTTGTCAGTAAGTGAAGTCTCTCTTATTTTCTTTCGAAATTACTGTAGTTCAAAAAGTCATTGTCTCGTTTTCTAGCTGTGGTTGGGGTAGTAAAGGTTTCAAGGTAGTTGATGCTATTGATCAATGTTGTGTTGTTCATGATAATTGTTACAATAATGCATGGTATGATTATGATTTTGTTACAAACGATATTCAGTGTACCGATGAACCAGGAACAATTGATCGCGAAGCATGTGAATGCGATAGACAAGCAGCACTGTGCTTTCGCTCATCGCCTTATATTTCAGCTTATGAGGACTACCGAGTTAATAAATGTTAAAGTTATACTTTGTTTTTTTTGTTCGGGTTTAAATGAAAGGAAATTTTGCCGAGGTTCTGTATTGACTGCAATAAAGAAAGAATGAATTTGTCAAATTTGGATCATTCAACACAAACAAATCATATAATTAGGATGTGGATGTGGGTTAAATGAATAAACTCATCCGTCGCCCCTCAATGTTTGAACCGCTTTAAAACAATTGTAGTATAAGGATTCCGAAAAGCTTAGCAAGAAGAAAAGGCATACTTGATATTTGAATATCTTAAAAATCCACACCGTATTGTTTTAAGTACAGAAATACAAAAGCGGCTTTTCCTTCTTGTACTTCTCTGTCATCGCATTTTCAAGTAGCAAAGTATTTGAATCTCGAGTTCGAATATTGGGATTTTATATATGCTTATCTATATTCGATGCGAAATGTTAGATATTTTCCACTATATTGAAACTTCATTCCATCAATTATATATAAAGCATGGTTTTCATGATATTTATGAACCTTACCTTCGGCCAATGATATTTCCCTAAGAAGGATGAGTGCGTTGACACCAAGTCTAATTCGTATCATTTTACAAAACAAAGTTGAGCGATCACAATCCGGAGTGAGGGTATGGGTGTATTGGTCTGCGTGCGAGTTGCTGTTGTAGGGAAGAATAACCACCATGCACACCGACACACCCACAGTTGAATTACTTTCCTTGACACCAGGTTTGTTTCTTACCAAATTCTTTCGACGACTTTGATTTCTTAAAGGATTTTATCGCACAATATTCACGAAAAAACTTGAGGAACCAAGGGACGCAATCAAATGTGCTTGTGCGATAGCAACTACATTTTAAAGTTACATCATAGACATTTGATCAATTCTATTCTGTACTCTACTGACTTCTGAAGTGTGGAGAATGGGCGAGTGAGAATGAAAAGAAGCTCATTTCCCTAACCCACAGCCAACCTCAACACACTAATCTAAGTAATAAAACTATCAATCTTAAGCTATGATATTGTCTAATATTCGTCACACATATATCTGCTGCTAGAAGTTATATAATCAACGACCACTCTTTCTTCCCGAAAATTACGAATTTATTTGACGATCGCCTAATGTGCTGAAAAAGAACTTTTTCTTTTTGAGCTGTTCCTTTTTTCTGATTTTGTTTTTTGAAAACAACTTTCCATGATTTTCTTCCGCTTGCGCTTGATTGTAATGTAGAACTCTGATGAATGTTTATATTTGAATAAATAGCATGAAGTGCGTCAGTGAATTTCACTTCTAGATTTATCTTTATTTATAAACACAATTATTTTTAAATTAAATAAATTTCGACAAAGATCGGTTGCTGGATAACAAGAGTTGAGATTAGTAAACTGATGTACATTTAAGATAGATAGACCAGTTTTTTTCTTGATTTAATATTCTGAATAAGTTTTTGCAGTTAAATATTGATTCTTCGTTGACAGTTGCATAAAAAGACATAAATTTTCGCACTCGATTGTTGTATCATTATTTACTTCTTGACTAGTGATATTTATCAACTATTAGTTAATAAAAGGAACTTAAAAAAAGACAATTTTTTTTGAAAATGTAAATTATAATGAAAATTAATACTGATGAACATATTCTTCATTATTTTCTATAACCAGTTGTGATTGATAAGGTATTTCGTCCATCATTTTTTGCACATTTTTCTTTCGAAAATTTTTTCTCTTATACACTTTCTATTCTCCCAACATCGGCAAGTTTAACATAACCATTTGCTAGTTCTATACGTTCACTAAAAAGTTGTTTTTTGTTTTTGCCTTTGATCATCTTGAAAAATTGGATCTAGTTTAGATTTTCGAAGTTTTGTTTTGATTGCTGAAGCCACCTTTTCTTTTAAAAATTAGATACATAACTGGTTTGTTCAATACATTCGTGTTCGATTCTCATTGTATGAAGTACGTTGTTGTTATATCCATTTAGTACCATTGCTTGTTTCATCCTAGTCAGATGAACAAGGAAAAAAATGCATTGCAATTTTAACCAAAAATGAAATCGTAAAAAGCGTAGACTTTTACTTGTTCACAACGGATTAGAGCTTTCGCAAAAATATATATCGGTTCGAAAATCTAATCCATTATGAACGCGTTTACATGTGCGCTTTTTACGATTATATTTTCTTTGTAATTTCAACGTTTTGTTTACACGTTTTCCCCCTTGTTCATCTAGCTGGAATGAAATATGAAAAAGAAATAAAATAATTTCATTTCATTTACAATTTAATAAATTATAAATTAAGGCCGAACAATTTATCTTTAAAATAAATGATGAAAAAAAAATTCATATTTAAAATAAATACAAGGTACTCACAATCTACATTTATTTGAAATTCACAGAAAAATGGCACTCCTACTCATACTCAAAGCTAAAAACCTACTTAGCTATTCTCAGAGAAACATATTCTCTTAAAACGTTGTCACAAAAAAATACATTATTAAAATGTTGACCAGAAAATTACTTATAATTGACTATACAAATAAGCAAAAGCGCTAGAGCAATGTTACAAGATACACCTATCGGAGTTATGCCAATATTCATAGTCCATGATCTCGTTCTTCCATTCTTATCCGTGATCTTGTGTTTGAATAAAATGTGTTTAACTTCGTTACCTGTTTCTGCTGTATTACACAAATGTCGACTACACCGCACGTAGAGTCTCGCACTATCTCCTTGGTCATTGACGATAACATTTACAGTAGGATTAATAAATTCTTGAGGACAAGAGAGTCTGCTCGTCTCACCAGTGATCTGATTATGGTCCAAATAACAAAGTTTATCCGGACTTGAACATAGATCTGTTGTCCAATTGCCATCATAACATGTGAGTCCTTTGTTTGTATCAGTACGACTAAGCAGACTGTCAAAATCGTTGAAAATATAAGTAATATCATATGCCTTTTCTTTCATTTCAATTATTTTCTTTTCAGCAAACACTCGAGCACAATCATCGAAGGTAGCACATCCATGTTCGATTTGGTAAAAAAAGTGTTTTGTCCTGTTCGGTTCGATACGAATGAAATCTTGAATGGATGATATACCAGTGTCAAAAAGTATTGTCACTTCATCGAGGTGAAAGAAGAATTGCATTTTGACATAACAACGATATGCATCTTCTACTGGACGGCCACAATGAAATTCTAAGCCATTGAATGGTTGACTTATGTTGAAAGTGCGTTGACAATTAGACGTACATCGAAGACCAGTGCAAGTATGAAAGATCAGTATAAGTAATAAAAGTGGCACTTGCGTTAGCATTTTTCTTTTGGTTCTTCTTTTTCTCTTTATTTTTCTTTCTCAATCCACTGCGTTTTTATAGTCTTATCATTGTTAAGCGATACAAAGTAAATATTATGAATATGTGTGAAATTTGACGTCAAATAGATATGAGTCAGTTGCCATACAATACTGGAGTAGAAATATTCCATATGAAGACTGGCACGTGATGAAAATAAGAGAAGAGAGTTGAATTACGCATACAAATATTCACTCTTTTGTCAAAATGAAAAAGGACAAAAGATAATGGCAATTGAGTAATCTCTTTTAGATAGGTGTGGGGTGTGCGTGAGGCGCAGATGGATGTGATGATGACTGTGACTGAAGAGCTGACTTCCATCTACGCCCATACCCTTAGCAAGTCTCTTGGAGAAGTATTTACAGCAGCATTTTCACTTATTGCCAGCGGAGCACAATAAAAAATCTGCAGATCAAATTGAAGCTTTTAGGAATGTTTATTACGGGTGGGGCTTAATCAAATATTCGATAAGAGCAAGGTTCTAGCTAAATGATTATTTGAAAAAATCATTTTCATCCTACTCAACATGATTGAAAGTCTAAGTTTCGATAACAAAAAGCGAGCAATAAAAAAACTGCATTTTTGGAAATTTTCTAAAAAAATAAAGCAGGTAGTAGCCATCAGTAAAATGCCCATAACTTCTAAACGAATAATGCTAAGAACCTGGACCTTGTGCAGTTTATAGATCTTTGGTTACCGGTTCTAATACATTCCTAAAAATCAAAAATTCATTGTGATGATCGGACACAATACAGTGATTTCTAAAAAACTCGATTGGAAGTTCACAAAAGAACTTGTCGGAATAATCTGTAACATACGATTTAATGCATCTTGAGCTTCTATTTCCAACAGCGAAAGTTGCAGATATCTATCGTATTTATGTCAAAAGTTATTCAAAAAACATTCAAGACTTCTTTTTTGAAATGGATATTAGTCATGGTTTTCTATTCCATAGTACACATTTTCATCGATTTCGATTAGAATAACAACGAATGTAATCTTGATTTCCCAAACCTAGGCGAGAACAAACACAATAATAATTTTTTTTTTAAATTCGCCAAATGCTTAAGATTTGTGTATCGTCAATAACAGCGTACAGCAGTTTTAGTTGAGATTGTATTGTCACCCTTCAAAGATAAAAGATCCCGATTGTTGTTCGTTGATGAAATAAGATTGAGATTTGATTCAACCAAATGTTTGGGCATCGAATAAAATTAAACTTAGATCTATTCACATTCGAGTAAATTAATTTATATCCGAAAACAATGATTTTATTCTTTATGACTTCAAGTCGATAATGTTAAGAAAGAAAATGATCGAATTCTCTTCGTCTGTCAATAACAAACAAGATCTTCTTAGATTTCATTCAAGTTCAATTGATGACTCTGTCATCTTAACTACATTGTGCTTTATTTTTGATACGGTTGATCCCCGTTATAGATGTGTCATTGTTCAAGATATATCGTGATTCTACACGTTCATATAGCGACACAAATAAATACCCGCATACTTTTCTTATTTGGAGTTCTTTTTTTATTGCTCTTCCCCTTCATCTTCTTCTACTAAATCTATTCGTATTGACTTTAAAATAAACTATAACAAGCAGTACTAATAATCACGATGTTCATTTCATATGTGTTGTTAGCTTGTCTTTAGAACAAAGAATAAATCCTC